GAGATCGATGCTATAGAAGAAAAGTTTGAATAGAGATAATCGTCATTTACTGCGCCAAGACACGTGACTTCGCTGACTGACTCGGTCAAGAAATTTATAAATTATTTCGTAATGCATGTATTGTTTATTTATGGGCAGAGCCCAGTGTCTTTAACACATAAAAATTATAGTCGCTTTGTACTACGAATCAATAAATTTTCCAATGTATTTTTTTAGTTATACTAAAGGCTTTGCTATTTCGTATTTCGTTAATAATTGAGTGTGAATCCGCATGTGTCATAGAGCTCCAAGGAGCAACCCCATGTGATCGCGGAAAATGATTTATGCTGGATATGTTATATATTTCGTGAATTCGTGCATATGATATGTGATACTTCTAACCATTTTATATACGCAGAAAAAATAGAGACGGAGTCGTAATAAAAGATAAATTCGCTTTATTACCAGATCGATAAATTATTTTTATGCATACTGTAGGCTCGAAGAGCCATGGCTCTGCCATAAATTAATATGTGCTGATTGAATAATATTTATTAAAGTTAATTAAACGATCCGATTTTTGTAAGCATCTTCATCATCAAAAATTCTATACTAATATGGCTAAAATGATATGGTAATTGTGACGTAATTTTCATTCCAGGTATATTATATTAACTTTGATAGTTTCACGAAATTTAATTATGGCTTCTAACGAAAAAAAGAAAAAGGGTGTATTTAAGATACCCAAGTTTTTGAAAAATATTAAAAAGAAAAAAGAGGTTCGGTTCTGTCCTTAACATTCCAAAGTTATTAAATCGAATTCATTTCAATAAACACTTATTGATATAACGTCCATTCAGCCCGAAGTACCGAATCCTTCTGTACCCGAAATATCCAATCCACCTGAGACGTTTGATTCCCCCAAAATGCCGAGTCCTTCTGTGCTCAATCCACCTGAGACGGTTGATTCCCCCGAAATGCTGAGTCCTTCTGTGCTCACTCCACCTGAGACGATTGATTCCCTTCACAACTATGAAACAAGACCTGGGCAAGCTCAGAAGTTTCTAGGTAATGCTGGAATTTTCAGAATGATTACAATCAATACAACTGCAGTGCTTTAATATAATACTTTCTGTAGATCGGATGCCCCCGAACTTCAGGTGGCCCCAATCAATGAATGATGATGATAGGGCAACAGCTTTTTTTTACATAGCAGATGATAGTGCTCTGGAATTTGATGATGAAGCAGGACTGAATTTGATCTCCTTCTTCGACAACCTCGATAGGGGTACGTTTGACGAGCACAAAGACAGTTGGGTTTTGACATATAAACAAGAAGTTAAAAAGTATGGGTCAGAATATACAAGCAAAGAGTTAGAGGATCTCGAAAACGAAATGCCAGGCGCGATATATCTACCAGTAGATACAAAGCGCCGTGAAGATCTTGTAAAGGTAGCACCAGCAAGGACAGTAAATGCACAACATAATGAAGATGAACACATGGTCTGAAGTTTGATGCAATTAAATCAGTTTCAATTAATACGAATATGCATTCATTTTGTTTACATTTTTTAAATAAAGGTTAGGATCCGAGTTAGAAAATTAAATACAAATAAAATTGTTACAATTGATTATAATTTTCGTGATCCTATCGAGGACAATAAATTGTATAAATCGGTTATTGATTCAGGAGCTCCGGAAACAACTCTTCCCTATTATGTCCGTTCTACTCTAGGAAGACAAGGGTGGAACCCTACTAGTAGGATAGCTAGAGGATATGGTGCACCCGCTCGTGTTTTTATTGCATCAGCATCGTTTGAAATGGCGATTGGAGACAATGATAACTGGAGCAAATGGGTAACGATAGACATACTTAGAGTTTGGCAACGGGATCCCGGTCCCCATATTGATAGCTCGCTTGTTGGATGTGATGTATTGGACCAATTTTTCTTGTACACCAGCCAAACCAAGGATATAAGTTTCTAAGGGCTACAGACGAAATTTCTTTAATCAATTTCATTAACAATCTTTCCTAAGATTTTTAGACTTAATAGAATGCAATTTATTTTTAGACTTAATAGACTGCAAGCATTAACAATCTTTCTTAATATCCTTAGACTTTGCAATTTATTACTTTGTATATTAATGCTCATATTTAATATTGCATTAAAACTGCGTGATATCGGCTTCTGCTTTAGCATAATTTCGACGTGTTCTTGCTTAGTGTACCATCAAAAAAATGTATTAAAAGTTGAATACTATATCGCCGATATTTAACTATGACCTCACGAAACCCGCTTTCCAATTTCACCCATTCTTACTGTAACTGCCGGAGGCAAAAAGAAGTGAGCTAGGAAAAACAAAATAATTAACTGTACACGTCCTTATTATTGCCGATAATCAAATCAGGAATTTTTTAACTGCCAGAAAATCGGCAGAAATAAAACCGCATAAATTCTTGCTGATCGTGCAACATAATTCTAATATTTTAGCAGAAACCAGTTCGCTGTTAAATTTTTGATATATGTATAATAGTAAGTAAAATTCGCTACCCACAGTTAATTATTATTGACGAACGAAGTTCAGATTACTTTGGGTCCTATGCATTTTACGCTGAAGTATAATCGTATATTAAAGTTAATAACGAAAAAATTAAATATAAATCGTATATTAAACACTTATCTGCGATTTAGATATTAACACTATACGTATATACTATGAATTGATTATAGGTCGAAAATTTTAAACGCTTGATTAACAAAACCCTTAATTTTTTGTATCCTCTCCGGAATAACAATTTCTGGTTTTTCATCATACCATACCTCAAGTAAGAAGATTCCGTTATCTTGACACATGCATCTTTTTTTCCGATCACGATTAACAATATCCTCGAGTTTTTTAACATCCTTATACCAGCCAGTATTATGAAGCCGATGTTGAGCTCCTTGAACTTCTAATGCGATTCGATGTTTTTTAAAAAAGACGTCAAATTCTAATCCATTCAAAAAAGGAGGCCGATACTCAATTATTGGTCCCTCATCAAGAATTTCCATAGCTATCTGAATACATTTATTCTGGAATTTACGATTTTTTTTAGATATCAACTTCAGTTCCAATTTCGCAATTCTAACTTCAAGTTCAGCTTGTTCACGAGCGATCCGTTCTAGATTCGTGATTCTGATTTCATGTTCTTCCAATACTCTCAAGGAATCGATTGCAAGTTGATTGTTTGCCATTGCTTTATATAAGATGCGGATATATTCAAAAGTTTGAATTAATAGCGGAGCTAGTGTCAAAGACACATAAAACCACGTGATAGAAACCGTGACAAATTGACACGATCAGAAAAATTACCATTATACATTACACAAAAATAACACATGATACGTGATTCGAAGAATCGTCTAAAGACTTGTACGTTCCTCTAACCAAAAATCTTTATTAATAAAATATATATATATACGATAAAAATACAGGATAAAAATACATATAAAAATACATGATATACGAAGAAAAAACTAATTATCTTCATCATCTCACATAGGTGTAGAAACTGTGGTACTCTCTTCCATTTGTCTTTGAGATTTGG